TTTGGGAATTTAGGAAACCCTGACTCGTTGCCTAAGCCCACGTGTCCGTCATCACCAAAGTTGCCTCGGCTCGGGAACTTGGGTACGATTGGGGAAGGTCATTTCGTGAGCACCCCCGCTCGCCCGATCAAAGATCGGCCTCTACTAACCATGATATCGATTTTTGAAAACATTATGTGCTCTTATTCCGGTTTATTAGCCTAGAATTACTACGTGATGCGCACAGCAAAACAAGTATAGACTGGATTGCCTAAGTTGGAACGAAGCATCGTATATCCGTTTTTTCGAAAAATGGATTGAAGTTTGCTACTCGCAAGTAGGCTAAAACACGGGTTTCGACGAATTATTCCAACTTAAGCAACCCAACTTTCACCCACAGGCATTCAGACAGTTATATCGCATAAGCATATAGCCTCATGGTAAGCATGCTATCATGGTAATCACTCACACGCATGCACGGATGCTAAAGCATAAACACTTACCGAGTACTCCGAGCCAAAACAAAAACTAGTTAGTAATCAATGCATGATCCTAGTTCATGTTAAGATGGCTAATGCAACACATGCAAAATGCAACTAAGATAGGCTCAGCTATTCTAAGATGGCATGTGAGATGCTACAACTAACACGTATTCAACTTGGAATTGAAATACAATGCAGTTAGTATGATGCGCCGAGCCCGGTGCATGCAAGACATATGAATGATGCAAACATGCAAGCATAAGTATGCTAATTGAAACATGCCCTAATCTAACCATCGTAAGCTAGTAAATAAAAGGGAGAAAGACGTGGGGTTGGAAGACATGCACACACGCACGCACACTTATTACACAATTGCGCTCGCTCGGAGGGTCCGAATAATAATACAAACCGAATAAATAATTAACTACCCTAACTAATTAAATATCACAAAACCCTTAACTAATTAACAAATTAATTAAGCTACTAAAGCAGTAAAATAGCCTCGGGAAGAGGGATGAATGCATGCTCGGATTAGCTTTGCTCGGAAACCCAATGCCATGCCACTGTTGCCTCTATTTACACTGTTATGCGCCTCTGAGACTTGCACAAATCCCAAGGTTGCTTCTAAACCACCCCTTGATCAGAATGAGATGCCACCGGCCAAGATAAAAAGCCACAGGCCATGGAAACATGGTCATCGACCAAAAGTGGAGCCATCGGCTGGATTTTGGTAGCCGGCCGGCACTAAAGATGGCCGACCGGCCATCTATTCCTGCAGGACCCTGTTTGACAGTAGCAGAGGACAGACAGAGCATGACAATGCATTTTCAAAGCAAATGTGTGCACAACCACCCTCCCTATCATGTCATGAATTCAAGGGAGTATAGTTCTCGACCCTCGGGGCACCAATCACGCATTTCCATGCATGATGGCCCAAGAAGCCAAGTGTGCAACTTCAATATCAAATGAAATTGCACACAAAACACATCAAAGCCCCAACCTCTATCATGATTGGTCAAGAGGCAAGGGATGCATGCTCAATGCTATGCAACCTAAGTATGCAAGCAAACTAATGCAAAATGAGTATGCTAGCAAGCAATATGCAATAGGCATACAACCTAAATATGCAAACACGCAACCTAGCATACACAATGCTATAGACTATATGGCACCCACAATGCTATATGAACTATGGCATGCTCAATGCAACTAACCACCTAGCATATACAATGCAAGGAGTGACATGGCATACACAATGCTAACAACATAACATGCACAACACATTGTAACATGGCATACACAATGCAAGATGAACTTAAAGTAAAATGAGTGGGCCTCAGCCACACTCAAATCAGTGGCCCAATGAGATGAGAACAAGGCCCAAGATTCATGCAAACATGCACAATGCAAAGGCTCCAAGCCTAAGGCACAAAATGCAACTCTCCAAGAGCAATGCAAGGATGAAACATGGC